ATATACAATATATATTATATGGATATGTCTATTGATACCTGAATTTTAGAGGTTCTCGATGAAGACTGTCTATTTCTCAGAGGTATTCCTAGGATCCTCCAGGATAAAATTCACACATGAAAGAGCATCTCAAAATAGCCTTTCAGGTTTGGTGAATGATTATCAGTTGTTTTCCCTCCTATGATGCAATAGTAGACAGTCCTATTTATGTAAAATATATGTGAATAAATTTAAAAGGAAATAGTATGTATTAAATACAGTAAGCAAATAAATCTTGCTGAGGAATATCGTCATGTTAAATTTAATACAGTTTATAATATAATACTGAACAGTATTATAACACCTGAGTGCACCTTGTTAAAAAAGGCATTTATTACCATATTTACTGTAACTGTAAAATGTTAGAACTAGAGAGGATATACAAAACTTTCCTCCAACCTCTTCTCCTTTTTAAAAAAATTTTTGCTGGGACCAGCAGTTAGCGTAATGGCTGTGTCACTGGACTCCCACATAGTTGACCACGGTTCGAGTCGCGGACCCGGTGGCTTAAAACTCATGCTGGGCGTGTGTGCGTGCGTGCCCAAGATCCCGAGAGGAGAATGGAGGAGAGGGGATTGCGGTGTGGCCATCCCCCCCTGGGTGGTGGTGGTGGGGGGTGATTTCTCGCTTTCTATCTCTCTGTCTCTCTCTGTCTGTCTGCCCCTATAGCGGGGGGGAAAAAAAAAAAAAAAAAAAACCTCTTCAAAAAAAATTTTTTTTTTGCTTGAGAGCATGTGTGCTCACCTGAGAGAGACACAAAGAGAAGGAAAATGAGAAAGTACCTCTCCATGGAAGATGGTCACACCACTATCCCTTCTCCATTTCTCCTTTCAAGATTTTTGGCATGCACACATTTGCATGTGCCTAGCGTATTTTTTTCCAGCTGTCAGGTCTAGGACTCTTTCTTTTTTATTTAACAAATATCTTTTTAAAAATTATTTATTTAATTTTATTTATTCATTCATTTATTTTAATTTGACCAGAGAGAGAGAGAGAGAGAGAGGAAGTGAGAAAGCAAGCCACCACCTCCAGGACTCAAATCGTGGTTGCCCATGTGGGAGTGTCTAGCACCTTAACCACCATGCCACCTGCTGGTCCCCAGGTCTAGGACTCTTAACTGTTTTGTTGGCTATGTAGGATCTAGCTGCCTTACCTACCACATGACTACCTGACCCTGCTTTCTTTTTAATTTTAAGGTTTGTTTATTTCTTCCATGAGAGAAAGGCACACCCAACAGGATCCTCACATTGCAGTTACCCCAGTTCCAGCCAGCCCTGCATCATGAGCATGCATGCGTACCTGACATTTCATGAAGGTCTCTACATATGAACCCAGAACCTTCCCATATGGGTCGGCCTCAGGGAGTGTTGCGTTATCTCTGCACCACCACCTGACACCCCTCTAACTGCCTTCTTTTTTCTTTTTAAGGATTACTTAACTTTATTTACTTATTTAAATTTGACCAGAAAGAGACAGAGTGAGAGACAGAGAGAGAGAGAGAGAGGAAAAGTGAGAAAGCAAGCCACCAGGTCTGGGACTCAAACTGGCGTCAGCCATGTGTGAGTCCAGTACCCTTAACCACCTCCCCTCCTGCCATCCCCACTGCCTTCTTAATAGTCATTCTTACATGAGCTTTGATAACTTTCTATTACAGTTCATTTACAGTTCTTACAGTTAATTTGTGGATTAATTGGATTAGAACCTAGACTTATTAACTATAAAATAGTTCTGTATATGCTCAGATTATCAGCCAATTTTATTAAATAAAAAAAGAAAACTTCTAAAAATGTAACACATTGCAAAATCAATACAGAGGATTCAAGTGTATTTTTCACTTTGCTTTTCCACTAATACAGTTCACATAACCATACTATGTTATAAAACCCAGGAAATTGGTATATTTATATATTTTTTAATTACCAAGGTCTGTGTGCTTGCCAGAGAGATACATCCCCCTCAAGGGCTGTGGTCATGCTTCAGTTCCTTTTTTCTTGTTTTTGGAGAGGTTTTTGCTATAGGGCACGTGCACTCGCCAGAAAGACAGAGAGACAGAAAGCGAGAAATCACCCCCCAGGGGGGATGGCCACGCCGCAATCCCTTCTCCATTCTCCTCTCGGGATCTTGGGCATGTGCACACACGCACCTGGCATGAGTTTAAGCCAGGTCCAGGTCTCCAACCGCAGTCGACTACATCGGAGTCCAGCAACATAGCCATTATGCCAACTGCTGGTCCCACATGCTTCAGTCCCTTCTTCATTTCTCCATCCTGTTAGGATTTGGGACATACTATACACACATACTTGGTATGTTTTTCAAGCCTCTGAGACTGGGATTTGAACCATGGTCAGCTACATGGGATCTTGTTCCCTTAACTACTAGTTTGTGAGACTGCACAATATGGTACTAACAACAAAATTACAGACCTTATTTTTAATACTTTTTTATTGCCAGAGACCATGTATACTCACCAAAAAGAGAAGGCACTCTCCAGTGGACCATAGTCCACAATCTTTTTCCCTCCTTTTCTCCATCTTTTCAGGATTTGGGGCATATATGCACACACATGTAGTTGACATATGTTTTAAGCCACCAAGGCTGGGATTTGAACCACATTTGCCCGTGTGGAATCCGATTTGTATGCACCGTGTTATGGCAGCGTTGCCAACTAAGTTTTTGGTAAAGATAAGTGTATAGTTTCTTAATTCCAAATACCTGTGTACATGTTCTTAACTATCTTTGTTCTCATCTTAAAGTTTATGGAATTAATTTTTGTAATTTCAGTATACAAGAGAACATCTGTAGATTCTAAGACTATTTAACTCAAGGGTAAAAACTTCTGTCAGTAAATATTTTAATCTGATTAAAATGAATGCTTTATGTAATGATATTTTGTTTATCTTGTTTTTTGTTACTGTAGAGAACTGGTTTTTGGGAGTTCAGTGGAAGTCCACGGGCAACTGGTAAAAAGTCCATCAAAAAGGCAAAATGTGGAACTGAAGGCAGACAAAATTGAAGTTATTGGGAATTGTGATACAAAGGTATACTTTCTGATACTTTTGGAGAGGCTGTTTAGTTTTAAAACCTTAGCACTTTGTTTTAAGTGTGATTATTGGGAAGATGCACTTAAAACATGTTACAGTTGTGACTTCCCAGGTTATTGGTATAGTCCGTAGAGCCTATGGAGACAGTAGCAAAAAATGTTTTTTGTAAATAGCTTAGTTTTATTTATTTATTTTTTTTTTTTGGAGAGGTTTTCGCTATAGGGCGCGAGAAATCACCCCCCAGGGTGATTTTCCCAAGAGGAGAATGGAGGAGAAGGGATTGTGGCGTGACCATCCCCCCTGGGGGGTGATTTCTCGCTTTCTGTCTCTGTCTGTCTGGCACGCGCCCTATAGTGAAAAAAACCTCCCCCCCCAAAAAAAGAAAAAAAGTTTTAAGTTTATCTCTTCCTTGAATGAGACACACCCATGTACACCCACTTACCCACCAACCCACCCACCCTTGACAAGGTCTTATGCTCTGATCCCTGCTGTAGCCTGCCAGCCAGCCAGAATCACAGGTCCCTCTGCAGGTTTAAATGACTGGTTTAAGTCAACCTTAGAACTGAACTCAGGTCTTTCCCGTATTACTCCATCGGTAGCAGTGCCCCAACACCTGTTGCCTCCGCAACTGAATCTCACCTGTGTGGATGTTTGATATTGAATCAATAAAAATTAAATAAAGACTCTAGTACTTTGGTAGCATTAGTTACATTTCAAGTGCTCAGTAGTAATATGAAGATATGGGCTATCATATTGGGTAGCACAGATTCAGAATATTGCTGTTTGTTTTGTTTTTGTTTTTGTCAAATCAAGGGTATTATTATGTATATCATTAACAATAGGGAATTTTATATTCTTGGATCTGTTAAGTGTTTCTTTTCTTTGCTGGTCCCACTCGCTCTTTATTATGCCCTACCCGCCCTTGTAAATTCTGGTATCTACACTTATCCTTCCTAATAAATCATTTTCCAGTCTTCCATTTCTGCCATAGAATGCAGACATTTAATGTCTATTGAGCAGGGATATGCAGTGCTTGTCTTTCAAAGACAGTCTTACTTCACTTAGCAGTAGGTCTTCCATATTCACCAGTTTTGCATAACAGTGCTGTTCATCACAGAAGGTCCTGTTGGCTGGTGCTGGTCTAAAGCGTTGTAATGCTGACTGAGCAGAGACAAATCCTACATTAAGTCATGTTTAAACTTACATTTGCAAGACTCTTATTTTAATAGTTTTATGTTAATAAGCCTGATAAAGGGGTTAGAATAAATAAAATCAAAGATTATCATCTCATTTCCTTAAATTTACAATACATTAATGGGAAATTGAGATCCAGCAAGATGAAATGACTTGTCTAAGATTATGAACTGATAAGTAGTGGCACAGCTGAAATTTATATTCTGTCCATTTGACTCCTTGTGCCTACTATAATTGTCTTCAACTTTTTAATGAATAAAAAAGCCCAGCTGTGGTGATGATGCTAGTGGTAGGGCACACTGCACAAAACAGGACCTCTATGAGAAAGCTCAGGGTTCAGGTCCCAGGTTGACTTGGACACCTGGGGGTACCCATGATTCTGGCTGGCTGCAGTGCTAAGGGGACCACTATAACATGGGAGGACCCTGTCAGGGATCCCTCATCTCACAGGAAATAAATTAATTAAAACAGAAACCAGACATCTAGAGAAATTGCATAATTTTAACCCATTTTTAGTTTGTTGGGATAATCTGAATTGAAAGAAATTAAATGTAAAGAAATAAAATGGAAAGTTTTTTTTCTTTAAAATTGTCATTCTTGATTATTTTTCAAGAATTTTAATTGGCATGTAAAATCAGGAATCTAGTTCTAAGATTTCTGAAAAATAGATTAGAATAATATGGAAATCAGGAGAAGAATGGAGAAGGTAACTATTTTTGTGTTTTAATCTTTATTTTTAAAATTTGTCACAGGGCACATGTAGTCACTGGAGGAGGCGGTGAGGGAGTGAATGAGAATGGGAGAATGAGAAAACATCCCCCATGGGGGATGACTACACTGTAATCTCCTCTCCACTTTGCTCTCAGAATTTTGGGCATGCATGCACATGTACCCAGTGAATTTTTCAAGTATCCACTCAGTGTGTTTTTCAAGCTGCCAGGTCCAGGACTTGAGCCACCCAATTGGCCATGTGGTATCCAGCCACCTTAACCTTCAAGCCATCTGCTGGCCCTTCATTTTGTTTTAATCATAGCCTCTTTTACATAAATTTGCCAGAGGATGCATATGCTCTCCAGAGAGAGAGAGGTGGAGAGACAGAGGGGGGAAAGCATCCCTTCAGTGGAGTGTGGTCACACACAATCCCTTCTACGTCTTCCATCCTGTTGGATTTGGGACATGCACGCAACATGTGCCCAGTGCGTTTGTCAAGTCTTGGGACTCGAGATTCGAACTACCATTGGCCACTTGGGATCTCGCTCACTTAACCACTAGGCTACAAAGTTGGTCCTTAATATAACTGTTTTAGTTTTTCCATTTTTATCGAGATACATAATTATATATAAAAAGTTGTCCTGCATTTCACTGTTGTTAAATTGTTCTCCCTCAGCTTCTGTTGGTGTTGATGCCTTTACTTTCCTTTCCCGTTGAGTTTAAGTCATTTTAAAAGTATTGAGATGTTAGGGAATTCTGAACGCCTAGCAGTCCCCAGATCTCTGTTAATGTGGTTACATTTTGGGACCAGCAGTCAGCATAATGGCTATGTCACTGGACTCTCACGTAGTCAATCACGGTTTGAGTCCCAGACCTGGTGGCTTAAACTCACACCGGGTGCGTGTGTGTGCATGCCCACCCAAGATCTTAAGAAGAGAATGGGAGAGAAGGGATTATGGCATGGCCATCTCCCCCCCCCGGGGGGGGGTGATTTCTCACTTTCTCCCTCTTTCTGATGAGCGCATGCACCCTATAGCAAAAAACTCTCAAAAAAAAAAATAAAATAAAATAAAGGAAAAGAAAAGAAAAAAAATGTGGTTACATTTCACTGTAGTAACTATGATGCTTGTTCCTATTCTACGTAAAATTGTATGTGCACAAGGCTTTTGAACAGATAACACTGAGAACCGCAGGCTGCCAGCGTAGCTCTTTGTTAGTCTTTCTGTGAACTTTTTTATTGAAACTTGTTTTTGTCCAAAAGAATGTGTCTGTCTTATTAGTCTCATAACATGACTGTGGGCAAGATGGAAATATTTCACCATAGAACCATAAGTTCCTTTAAATTTTTTTGTAAATCTTTACAAAAGATTTATGTGCTAGATAAAAGAACACTGCCATCCCTCCCCCATGATCTTAGACCCCAGTAACTTGCTGATAAACAGTAATAAAGTCCCCATCGATCATGAACAATTGTGGCCTTTCAAGACATACAGATAATTTTTAAATTGGGCACAACAGTAGAAAACAGGTTTTGTTTTGTTTTGTTTTGTTTCAGTTTGCTGTAGGGCATGTGCGTTCTCTGGAGACGGAGAGAGAGAAAGTGAAAATGTACTTTTGGGTGGTCATGCATGCACACACACCCTGTGTGTTTTTCAGGCTGCTGGGTCCATTGCACAGTGAGCTATATGAGATCCAGCCATCTTAATGTTTAAAGTGGTTTGAAGGCCAAACCTGCCTGAAAAACTCATGGGACACACGTGGGTTCATGTGTAAAATCCTAAAAGGAGAAGGGGTTGTGGAATGACTGTTCCCCACTGAGGGGTGCTTTCTCACTGTGCTTATCTCTCTCCACTGAACACACACGCCCTCTGGTAAAATTAAGTAAATAAATAAATAATCTGCAATATTCTGGACCCCTGTGCTGAATAGTGAGCTGTTTTTGCATTATTAATCCTAGCCTCTATATTTGTAAAAAGTGCTTGACTGCTAACGGACAGAAATCCGATAAATAAAGATTGAGCCTCAGTGATAAGTAAATTAGTTAATAAGTAGTAGAGCTGGATTTAGTATCTTTTTAAGCTTCTAACTTATTTTTTTTTTCCCCCATTTACTGGCAGGTTTTCCCTATCAAATATAAAGAGAGGCATCCTCTGGAGTACCTGAGACAATACCCTCACCTGAGGTGTAGGACTAACATTCTGGGTTCTATCCTGAGGGTTCGCAGTGAAGCCACAGCTGCTATTCACTCTTTCTTTAAGGTAAGAATTTGCTTCCAGTTTGGAGAAGTTGACTTTGCTTTCTCCTGAAGTCTACAAATTCTAACACTGGAGTATTTTACCGACAGCGCTGTTACTTTGTTCCAGGTACCCTTTACTTGTTTAGTACTGGATCAAATGCCACAGACATGCATATGTGTGGGTCCTATGTGGGTGTGGTTGGTGGGTAGGTGGATTTATTTCATAGCTTTACTGAGGACTGATTGACATAAAATAACATGTATATTTAAAGTGTATGATCGGATGAGTTTTCATGTATGCATATCTCCATGAAACCTTCACCACAATCAGGATAGTGAACTTATTCATGACCCAAAATGTTCCCCATGACCTTTCTTTTTTTTTTTTTTGGAGAGGTTTTCGCTATAGGGTGCGTACGCTCGCCAGACAGACAGAGAGAGACAGAGAGACAGAAAGCAAGAAATCACCCCCCGGGGGGATGGTCATGCCGCAATCCCCTCTCCTCCATTCTCCTCTCAGGATCTTGGGCAAGCACGCACACACGCCCGGCGTGAGTTTTAAGCCACCGGGTCCGGGACTCGAACTGCGCTTGACTACGTGGGAGTCCAGCGACATAGCCATTACACTAACTGCTGGTTCCCAAGAAACGGGAGAGCGCGAACGCAGTCCCCCACTACCACAAATTATGCAGTCGAGTTTCCCACATTTGGGGAAATCGCAGGGGTCAGCACATCCAGAGTGCAATGGATAAGCCTCGCCCTGGGAAACCACCTTCATGATCATGGTATCTCCCCTGCCAGGTAAGTATCCCCATGACTTTTGTTTATCGCTCTCTCTCCTCTCAGACCTCCCTCTTTCTCAAGCAGCCACAATCTGCTTCCTGTCACTATGCATAAGCTTACTTTTTTAAAAATAGTTTTATATAAATGAAATAATTCGGTATGTACTCTTTGGCTTCTTTCTCTCAATCTGTTTTGAAATTCATGCATACTAACTGTATCACTAGTTTGTTCCTTTTTTTACCGTTAAGTATGATATTAGTCATAAGTTTTCATAAATGCCTTTTAACTGACTGAAGAAGTTCCCTCCTATTTCTGATTTGCTTAGAGTTTTATCAGGAGTAGATACTGGATACGGCAAATGCTTTTTCCGGTTCTTCTGCGATGACCTATGGTTTTTGTTTTCTATTTTTTTAATATGCTAAATTATATGGATTGATTGACTTACATTCTGGTAATGATAGCATGCATGTGTGCTTGAGTGAGAGGGAGTGAGAGAAGCCCCCTCAACAGGATGTCATTATGCCATAATCTCTCTTCCCCTGTCCTCTAGCTTCTTGGGATCCTGGGTGTTTGGGCGAGTGCCCAGCATGTTTTTAGGCCACCTTGGGCAACCCGGGAATCTGAATTAGTGGTCTTCCTGGGTACTTTTGTTATTGCTGCGCCATAGCAGCTTAGCCATATGTTGATTTTTGAAGGTTAACCAGCCTACATTCCTAGAATAAATGCCACCTTGTAATGGTGTATTATTCTTTTAACATGTTGTTACATGCAATTTGCCGTCTTATGTAGTTTCCTTTTCTTGTCATGTCTTTTTCTAGTTTTGTGTCAGGGTAAGGTTGTCCTCATTCAATGAATTAGAGATAATCCCTCCATCTTTTTTTTGGAAGAATTATTTTATTTTATTTATTTATTATTATTATTATTATTCCATTTAATCAGAGAGAGAGAGAGGGAGGGCAAAAGGGAGAGTGAGAAAACAAGCTGCCAGGTCCAGGACTTGAACCACACAATAGGTCATGTGGGAGTCCAGTGCCTTAGCAGCCACCATGCCACCTGCTGGCCCCAACCCTTCCTCTGTCTTTCCTCAAAACATTTCCATAAAACTTAATTATTTCTTTCTTAAAAGTGGAGTAGGATTTATGAGTGAATCCGTCTGACTACTTTTTAAACATTTTTTTCTCTTGTGTATGTATATAGGAAGGTTTTTAACTACAGTTTCAACATTTTGAATAGACATACAACTATACAGGTTATTCTTCAGTCAACTTCAGTAGTCTGTGTTTTTCAAGGAATTAATTCATTTTATTTAAGCTGTCAACTTTATTGCCATAAAGTTATTCAGAATATCTTACCATTCTCACTTTACTATCTGTAGAATCTACAGTGATGCCATCCCATTCCTGATATTGTTAATTTGTTTTCTGGCTAGAAGTATATACTTTCATCAGTCTTTTCTTTCTTAATATTCATTGCTTCGAGAACTCCTTTATCTGGTTTTATTACAGTCCCAACCACTTTCTTTTGCATTTGCTTTTTCTGCCTTCTTTTGCATTAATCAAGTGTGTTTCTTAATGATTTATCTCTTTCGTTTTCTTATTACCCATAACTTTGTTTTGTTGTTTTATTGGTTACTTTAGAGGTTACAGTGTATCTTTAAATTCAGTTAGCATTTCATCGTTTCCTGTGTAATGTTATGACCTTACAGTGGCGTACTTGCTTTTCTTCTTTTGTTATGCTTTCGTTGCCATGCATTTTACTTTTGCATATGTTATAAATTCTAAACCTGTGATTTTTGTTCAGGCAGTCAGTTATCTTTGAAAGAGATTTAAATAATGAGAAAAAGTTCTTACATATTTATCTTTGCCATTTGTAGGATTCTTCATTCCTTATGTACATCCTTGTTTCTATCTGACATAATTTTCCCACTTCCTAAAGGACTTGATTGAATATTTTTTTTACCTTTTTTTTAAACTGTGATTTCTGGCTTATATATAATCATTGTACATGTTTGTAAGGTACAGAATGGTTTTTCAGAGCATGCATACAGAGTGTAATAATGAAATTAAAGATGTCTGTACATTCCTCTTATTTCACATCAAACAATATTTCTTGTAATGCAAATCTGCTGGTGATACATTCTTTCAGCTTTTGTGTGTCTAAAAATGTCTTTATTTCACCTTCACTTTTGAAAGCTCTTTTTTTTGTGAATATAGGATTCTAAATTGGCAGGTTTTAAGTACTTTAAAGTTACCACTCTACTGTCTTCTCATTTGCATTATTTCCAATGAGAAGTCTGATAGCATCCTTATCTTTGTTTCTCTGTATGTAGCATTTTTTTTTTCCCTTTGGCTGGTTTTAAGAATTTTTTCATTATCACTCATTTTTTTCAATTTGATTATACTGTGCCTTGGCAATTTTCTTTGTTTCTCATGTTTGAGGTTTGTTGACTTTCTCCCTGAGTTTCCGATTTTTATTTTGTTTTGAGCTATTATTTTCTAGAATATTTTTTTCTGTTACTTTTCTCTTCGGGAACACAAATTATCCATATGTTAGGCCACTTGATGATATTCAGTAACTTTTTATACATTTCTCCTCTTTTTTAAACAATTATTTTTTTCTCTGTGTGTTTCTTTTGGTTAATTTCTTTTGCTGTGTCTTCAAGTTTACTAATCTTTTCTTCTACAGTACCTGATTCTTTGTTAATCCCATCCGTGTATTACTTGTTTCACATGTTATATAGGTCTTGTATGTAGATGTTTGTCTTGGACTTTTAAAAATATCTTTTATGTTTACCTAATTTTTAAATAATCTTAATAATTGTTTAAAAGCTGTTACTATGTTTAACTTATTTTCAGTGATGGGTCAGTTTTGATTGATTAATGTCCTCATTATGGATTGTTTTTATGTCTTTTTGTATATCTGCTAGTCTTAGATTGGATGCCAGACATTGTGAATATTACCATGTTGGATGCTGGCTATTTATAAAGCTTCTTGAGGTTTGTTCTTCTATGTAGTTAAGTTACTTTCAAACTGAGACTTTGGGGTCTTACTTCTGTCATGTGTTAAGCAAATCTCAATCAGTGCTCAGTTTAGTACTAATTATTTCCCACTTCTGAGGCAAAGCTTTCCTGAGTATTATACCTTGTGCCTTAAGAGTTTTTCCATACTGGCTTGTAGATACATACACTGTTTTCAGCCAGCAAGGGAGTGTTAGATATTATTTCCTTAATGTTTTTAGATGGTTCTTTTCCCAACCTTAAATAGTTTCTTCACACACAGGTGCTGATCAGTCCTCTACCTAATAATTTAGGTGACATTTTGCAGGTGTTGGGGGTTCCGTCTCTGTCTCTGAACCCTCTGATACTCTTTCCTATGAGCTTTAGCCGCTTTGGTCTCCCCAGGCTGAGTCTCCTTAGCACAGGGAATCTGTTGGGTTCTACTTCACTTCCCCCTCCCTGTTTTGTGTCTTAGAAGATCTCAAGGTAGTAAGGTAGGCTACTGGTAGGACTTGCCATGTTTGTTTGCCACCTCTTAGAGATCTCAAGCCTTTTTTGTCTGATATCCCGTGTCTTTTTTGTTTTTTAATTTGTTATAGAGTACATCCGCTTACCAGAAAGAGAAGGCAACCCCCCCACCCCCAGGAGGATGACCACACTACAATCCCTTCTCCATTCTTCTCTCGGGATTTTGGGTGCATGTGCTCATACCCATGCTTGACATATTTTCCAAGCCTCCAGTCCAGGACTCAAAATGCACAGTTAGCCATGTGAGACCCAGCCGCCTTAATGTCCATGCCACTGGCTGGCTTAATCTACAGTATTTTCGAATCATTGTTTTGTGTGGTTTACTATGTTGTTGCGGTTTTTAAATTTTTTTTGTTTGTTTTTTGTTTGTTTGTTTGTTTTTATCGTTTCAGGTGGGAGGGTAAATCCAGTCCTTATGTCTTTATCTTGGCCATAAAACCATATTTTGTGTATAGTAAGAACTAATTTTCAAGAGTTATTGATGTTGATCAAGTAGATTGAGCTACAGACTAAAGGCATTTTTTGTCTTTCTTAGTTTTGCTTTTTAGCCATTTCCTTCAAATTGGGAAAGCCGCAGTAGAATGTGGTTGGCAAGTGGCAGAAGTGAAGGGATCATCTCTCTATGTTAATGTGAGGGCCTCAGAGGTGGGGTTGACCCAGCACATTAAGCTCAGTGTTGTCCCATTTGCTTCTGGGACTCTTCCTGTATCACTTC